CACACCTGTCCATCAGCACCGGCACCGCCCACCTGCACACACCTGTCCCAGTACTGAACCTGTGCTTGTCTGCAGGTTGCTGTTGCTGCAGAGATTTGAGAGCAGCGTCACTGATCAACTGAAACGACTGGAAGAAAACTCAACACACCTGAACTCTGTCAACACTCAGATCCTGGTACTCACACTGCAGTAACAGTAGACCGAGCCAGCTTCCATCTGACAGTAATGCTTGAGTAATACTACGCTGGTCCTGCTCTGACACTCCTGTGACACTGTGGTATTACTGCAGTAGTACTGCTGCAGTCATGAATAATTCAGTGTACAGTTGAAGGATGTTTGGCTGTGTTTGATCAGGACGGTTCAGGTTCAGATCTCACACCTGATTCTGGACTCACTGCACCCCTGTTTGTCCTGCAGACTTTCTTCCAGTCTGAGATGCGGCGACTCTGCGTCTTCTGTGACGAACACCTGCACAGGTGAGCCTGATCTGGTTTACACCTGTTTACACTGACTGGTCAGTTTGAGTTGAACCCACATAGCTTCACAGCCTGAACTGAACCTCTTACTGTCACAGCTTTGCTCAAAGTTCTTCACATTGTGAGGATGTGCTTTGGATCTTGTAGAACCCAGTAAGTAAACTGGACCAAACTGGTAAAGATGTTGCTTGAACTGGTTTAAAAACCCTGGATCTGGTTTGAACCTGTTCAGACAAACGTGCAGAGACCTTCAGAATCTGGTTTGGACCTGATTTAGAGTCTTGTCGCCTCAGGTTGAAGTCTCTGCAAGGTGAGGAGTCGGGGGCGGAGCATCCATCCAGCCACTGAAGGGGAGGGGGGGGGGCAGAAGAACCTGCCCAATGAGGAAGACCTGTCGACCAGTGTGGTGTTTAAACTGGAAGAACTGGTCCCATTCAGAACCAGCAGCAGAGGGAAAGCACTGCCACTGCTGTTCACTAAACTTCATTCAAATTTCAGTGATTTCTGTGTTTCCATGTTTGAGTTAAAAGATCGGCTTCTGCTTTGAAGACGACGAAGCGTTTGAACAAATAAAACCAGAGTGCAAAGTTCATGAATCTGGTTTGTTGTCGTTTTGTTCCTGTTGACGTTGCATCAACTGCTTACTGTGGTGAGAGGAAGTCTGGCAGTGACCTTCAAAGGCCACCAGGTGGAGACAGAGCTGAACCCGATCACCTGAAGCTCCTGTTCCACAGAATCACTGGAAACGTCTTCAGCTGCAGCTCTCTTTGTATTTACACTTTGCTGCAACAGCAGTGAGCACAGCACTGGCTAATATCACTGAAATATGAAATGATCTCAACAGTGTCACACACAGTAATCAGATTACTTCCATCAGCAGAGTACTGTCTCTGATATCAGATCACAAACTACCGGCTCAGATCCATAGATCAACTTCAGGATCCACAGTAGGAACTGCAGTGAGTCCATCTTTCATTCCTGGAGTTTTGGTGTTAGTTCAGACAGACACGGAGTCTCAAGGCCCGGTTCTGTCCAGTCGTCCATGGCTTCAGTCCAGCCCACCCACTGAGCTGCTTTATAAGCGAGGCAGCGTTCATTCATTCTGCTGACCACAGCACTGCTACTCCAGCCTCTATGGATCCTCCTCCCTTCTACAGATCATTTTCATAACTCTGGTTGTTTCTCATGTTCTGGGCCTGTAGAACACAGACGGTTCATAAATGTACCATTAAAGTTTGACTCCTTGTTTCTGTGTTCATACTGTATTCATTTGAACATTGTGAGTCTCAGTTCTGCCGGGGTTTGTGGTCTCAGGGACCGTCTGGGTCTGACGAGTTCACATCATTCCAGAGCATCATTCAGCAGAGTCACCACCAAACTCACTGCATGTGATCCAGATAAACCAATAAACAGTCAGTGTCCTGTCTGATCTCAGCTTCTCTGGTTCCTTCAGACTCAGTCCTCCTCAGCATGGAGGAGACCAGAGTCCACTA